GGGGGGGGATATCTTACAGTCACAAGTAGGAAGGCTCGCGAGGCCGGGAGACGTGGGCCGCGCTGATAGCCGGTGTGGTCGCGAAGGTGCTCCCCGCGGCCGTGCGACGCCGTCCACTCGCCGACTGAGCACAGCCGGTAGCTGTACGTACAAGCGCCCCGGCGGCTGCCGTGGCCGTCCTGCGAGCCCCACTTGCAGGCGACGTGGCGGCTGTAGTCCCGCGAGCCCCTCTTGGAGGCACACCGGTCGTCGTGGCGGAGACGCGCGTCCCGGTGGTTGCTGTGGCTGCTCGGGTGGCTGGCTGTCCCCCGGGTGCGACGGCAGCGCGGTGTGGGTCTGGACGAGCCCAACCCGGCCCCTGAGCGCCCAACGCCAGTCCGCGGACCAGCGCTGGTGCCTGCACCACCCAGTGGGGCCTGACGCTGGGTCCGGACTGCACGCGTGACATGGGACCCATGGGACTAACAATGCAGCCTAATCGGGCACCAAGACCAAGAGGGATGCTTTCTCACCGTACGCCCCGAAGTAGTACCGGATGGCAGTAAACACGCACTGCTGTAGGTCCATCTTGTCGCGGTCTACGGCCAACTCAACGAGTGCGTTCTTGAAAGAGAGTAATAAATACATAGATCGAACTCATGAGGAACCAGTGAACCACAACTGGACACTTCAGACCTACATCCAGATAATCCATGCAGATGCGTTCCGAAGTGAGAGGCCTGTCCCTGTCCATCCTCACGGGCAGCACAGCAGCGCAGCGTGCTCCGCTACGACGAGTGGGTGAGCGCCGCGCGGCGCCGCGAGTGCTATCTCCCTGGTAAGAATAGAGCTGAGGAGCCAGCCGAGCCAGCCGCGCCGGGCCCACCCCGCCCAATGATAAACTGAAAAGATCGCAGCGCGAGGGGGTGGGGAAGGGGGTGCGCTTAGTGCGTTAAGACCGCTTATGGCACGACTAGGAATTGAGAATGAGAGAGAGAGGGGGAGAGGGGGGGAGTAAGGTGTAATGTAGATAGGTGCCCGCAAGGGGGCGAGAGTGGGGGGAGGCAGATCCTTTGTGCCACTCCGCTGATCGGTTGTAAACGTGCTGGGTGCACGCTGGACCAGTTATTAGCAAGAATCAATGTTAGGCCGGGCGGCCGTGCTGTGCTAGGGTCGAGCCTCGAGCCTCAGGAGGGGCGGTGGGCGGTTCCGGGCTTGTTAATCCCTTTTGAGTACACCGGCGGCGCGCGCGCTGTTCTGCGCATGTCATATCCACAAATGAGAGTGCTTGCTGCCACCTACCTCTATGGCACCTTTTGGTGATGGGGGGGGGGGGAGTACCGCTCGGGCAACCATTTTCTTACTAAAGCATCAGCCGGCCTCTGATTTCTCTGTATTAGGCCGCCCGCCTAATAGGCAACCCACCTAACTCATCGACTGCCGCCGAGCAGGCTAGGCAACCAAACCGGCGCCGAGCACGCGGGGAAGGGGAGGGAGGCGGGAGGACCAGCCGGGGCCAAAACGATGAACTATGGAGTTCAGAAGACGCTTCTAGTGACGCTGTCGTGTCGCGAACGACGTGTCCAGGGCGGTCAGCTCCTCCACCAGGACCTGACGCAGCCACCGCCGCGCCCAGGCCCGGGAGGGTGTGGGTTTGCGTTGGCGATGCGCGCCAACCAGGAAAGCAGGGTCGTAGTGGTGGATTTCCCTTGCGCTGCTCTGTGCCTAGCAGGGTGAGTCAGTCAGCCGTTGCGTCGCGCTCACCTCCAAGCGCCGCAGGGCGGGCAGAGCACAGGCGGCCACCAGTGACTCCTGTCCGTAACGACCCGTCCAAGCTGTCGTCGTCGGCCTGGGTCAGGCTGTAACGCACCTCGCCGCCGAGCCCGAGGTCCAGGTCCGAGGCCTGCACCGCGGCAATGACGCTGCCGGCGGGTATCTCCTCAAGGACGCGCACCGAAAGGTCCGGCCGGGAGCGCGAGGCGCGGCGGGTCGTCGTTGATGTCGACGGTGACGCGGACCTGGCTGGGCGGTGGAGCTCTGCGGCGGGTTGCCGAAGTCCCTGGTCACGACGAGCACCTCGTAGACCTCCTGGCGCTCCCTGTCCAGCGGGGCGGTCACCGTCAGCACGCCCGACACGGCATCCTGGTGTCCGTCTCCATGAAGTTGGCGACGCGGCCGTTGTCGCCGGCGTCCGGGTCGGTGGCGTTGAGGCAGAAGATGTTGGCGGCGTCCTCGGTGACCCGGAAGCTGGAGAGCGGCTTCTCGAAGCGCGGCGCGTTGTCGTTGACGCCCAGGACGGTGACGGGCAGCACCCGCGGTGCGTCGATTTGCTCGGCGTCCCCAGGTCCCACGCCGACACGTTGAGCAGGTACTCGGACTCGCGGTCCAGGTAGCCGACGAGCCGCAGCTCGGCGGACTCGATCTTGAAGAGCGAGTCCGAGTCGCCGGACGCGATGCCGTACACGATCTTGCCGTTGTAGCCCAGGTCGCGGGCGCGGGCGCGCACCCGCACCAGGATGGCACCGAGCGCGAGCGACTCGTTGACGCGCACCTCGAGCGGGACGAACTCGGAGGCGTGCACGTTGGAGCCGTATCGCGGTGCACGCCCGTCTCCCTGCAGTCGAAGTAGCCCTTGTGGAAGCCCGTCTAGGGCGTGGCCGTCACCGGGTCACGCTTGGCGTTCACCATGTTCACCTGCAGCCGCAGCACGTCCGAGAAGTGCGTGCCGTCCGAGGCCGTGACGTTGAGCTCGCGGCGCGCGGCGCGCACGTCGGCCAGGTCGCAAGTCACCTGCAGCATGCCCGAGCTGGAGTCCAGCGCAAAGCAGCCGTCCTCGGAGCCGCCCTCCAGGCGGTACGTGATGACGCTGCCGTTGTCGAGGTCGATGGCGGACAGGGTGAGAATGTCGGTGCCGATGGCGAGGTGGCGCGGCACGTGGCCGACGCAGTCGACGCGCTCGAACTGTGGCCGGTTGTCGTTTACGTCCCGGACGTGCACGCTCAGCGTGGTCTCCGTCTGCCGGCGGTAGGTCAAGCCCCAGTCCGAGGTGCGGATTCGCAGCACGTACTCGCGCCTTCATCACCTCGTAGTTGAGCACCTGCGTGGTGCGCACCCAGCCCGTAAAGTGGTCCACCTCGAAGGGCACGGGGCCGAGGTTGGCGATCAGGTACGAGATGTAGGCGTTCTCCCCAGAGTCCCGGTCGCGCGCCACGACGCGCGCCACCTGCTGGCCGGGAGGCTCGTTCTCGTTGACCCACACAGTCTGCTCGGGCGTCTCGAACACGGGGTCGTTGTCGTTGGCGTCCAGCACCGTCACCTGGACAGCCCCTCGGGCTTGTTAATCCATTTTGAGTACACCGGCGGCGCGCGCGCTGTTCTTCGCACGTCATATCCACAAATGAGAGCGCTTGCGGCCACCCATCTCTATGACACCATTTGGTGTATGTGTGTGTGGGGGGGGGGGGCACCGCTCGCGCAACCATTTTCTTACTAAAGCATCAGCCGGCATCTGATTTCCCTGTAGGAGAACGCCCGCCTAATAGGCAACCCACCCAACTAAGCGACCGCCGCCGAGTAGGCTAGGCAACCAAACCGGCGCCGAGCACGCGGGGAAGGGGAGGGAGGCGGGAGGACCAGCCGGGGCCAAAACGATGAACTATAGAGTTCAGAAGACGCTTATAGTGACGCTGTCGTGTCGCGAACAACGTGTCCAGGGCGGTCAGCTCCTCCACCAAGACCTGACGCAGCCACCGCGCCCGGGCCCAGGAGGGTGTGGGTTTGCGTTGGCGATGCGCGCCAACCAGGAAATCAGGGTCGTAGGGGTGGATTTCCCTTGCGCTGCTCTGTGCCTAGCAGGGTGAGTCAGTCAGTCAATCTAAATGTTGAACCAGGTTTCTTTAACACGCTTCATAGTTCAACCTTGACGATATGCCGCTTGCCGTTGTACTCCAACTCGTTCCCATTCAAAACAATGATGTAAATAGTGAAAACTGACATTGTTGGGAGATAGGTTTAATTCATTGTTAATGTCTTGTTTGGTTGATTGATGTTTGTAGTGTGATCCTTGAGAACTTATCATTATTCTGTTTTCATTTATTATATTTTAGTCGAAACAATTTCACACTAAAGATCTATTGTGGGGGGAAAATATACTGCTTTGTTTTTAGGTGTGGTACTTGGCTCTCTAACGGCCCACGTCAGTGTCTGTATGTTATGAATGGATCAAGATTTTCATGTGTCTAGAAGCTTGTGCTATTTGAGGTACTCTTTGCATCCCCGTTTAATCCTGACAACCCAAGTCTAAATACCATCTAAGTTGTGTTTTGTTTTTGTTTCTCAATAATCTTGAAATTTTTTTGAATAGTGTAAATTGAATCTTTCAGTCTACATAAATTAACTGTTAAATTGTCTTAAAAAAAAAAATTCTGATTGTTCGTAATCCAAGGATGTGTTCAATTCTTACAATCTCCAAGTGCATGCATAGTATTACTGCAACATAACAGCAACCGCAAGGGGTGTTTGTGATACAGAAGGTGGTTGTTCAAGAACAAATGTAACGTATTTAATAAATTCTTTTCCTATTTATATTTTTGGAATCAATCAAAAATTTGTGTTTAACATTTCTTTTTTAAATGCTCTGGACAAAATCCTTTTAATATAAGTAAAGTAGAACTATCATACCATTACAGCAAATAAGTGTAAAAAACATCATCATAGATACTTAATATCTGTCTTTGAACATTCAGTAACACATATTGCCATGATTTAAAAAGAAAATTATGTATCATGAGAGATCATATAAGTGGTAAGAATGGAAAACCCACCCAATTTAAACATATCTCTTAAAATACACTTAAACATGAAATAAGTAAACTGGCAGAGAAAATTATAAACACAAGAGCTGTTGTGTATTGTGTATGCATGCTGAAGCTATCTTTTTTTTCATCCATTTAAGGGAGCGAACCTTAAAGTCCACTCCCTTGCAATCCTGTCATGTTCCTTTGGGTCTGCCCGGTATTGGTCCCGGATAGAGGAGACAAGTGGATCATCTGAAACAAAAGCAATACTTTAGGCTTTACAAAGATATACAATGTTAAGCAAGCTCTCCTTGCCACAAACGCTGCTTGTAGCAATTATTTTTCTGACTATTGTTTGTATCAAAGCATGGCGCACTGCAGATTGTTACAGCAATTCCATTTTCTTTCAAAATTTAGATATATTTTCTTTTTTTACAAAACATTGGAATTACGTATTAAGCAATGAGCTTCTTAGTTGGTAAAATATAGTGAAAGACCTGTGGTATTTGTTGCCATTCAGAAAAGGTATCACCTAACCTAGCTTTTTCACACCAACTCTGACTTAAAAAACTTTTGAGTAAACTTTCAACATAAGACAAAATTAAAAAGAAAGGCAACTAAATTCAATGAGATGTAGTATTAGGCATTTAGATGATGCCAGTGTAGGCTTCCTGATGAAAAATACACCCCCATACTGTTTGTGCAGACCTACAGTTGTTTAACACTGGCCTAATCTGAACACAGTTGTAATGGGTTATTTTGGTAAGTTAAATAGAAAATAAAAAAATTATATTCACTTCTAAAGTAATTAGGTGACATAAATTTGTCAAAATTGGCAGTTTATTAAGAAAGTTTGAGCCAGAGACCCTTATGCTTGGCTATGCGGATAAGTAATTGTAAAATGTGGTGCTTCATTCTAGTAAGATAAAGCCACTCACATTTGTGAAACCTCATTAAGAAAAGTAGCTTTCCTAATTGGAAATATAACTTACCAAAATTGGCATCGCCAATCAGCTGATGGATGCTGAGTATGAGACTAGAGACACCCATTGCACTACACCAGGTCCCTTTATTCTCTTCCGTTTTGAGGGTACTAAGGCATATTTGACCGAGTGAGTTGAAGTTGCAGTGATATATCCGTGTCTTGAATGTCACCTGCAACAAAAAACAAATATTATTGTTATATGTTATTATTTTGGTGCAGTTTGAAGAGATTTTTCATGCATTTATGGCGTCGAATCTTTATGAAATAGCTTCCAAAATTTTGAAAAGAAAGTAAAATATAGTATGTTGGGGGGAGTAAAGTTTGCTGTTCTGAATATTTCTTCAAAACGTCTTTGTTTTAACAGTTCATAAAAAGACTGATTTCTATTTACTTACCCTCGGAGGAACATTGGGATAATCAGAATAAAATTCTAATTTGAAATTGAATTTCCCCCCTTCATAGGGGGTGTTTTCTGGCCCGAGAAGAACTCCATCCCAGACCCGGAAATTGTCTTCTCTGGGCTCAACACTGGAAGAAGTAAGATTAAGCAAAACTATAATACTGAGAGTTACTGCACGGATTCGCCCCCCCCCCCTCTTCTTCCCTCCCTCCCCAACATAGCATATAATTTATATACCTAACATTGTTAAATCTCTCTTTCTACCTGATATGGTCTGGCATGGAGCCTGTCGGTCTGCTTATTTAACCCTGTAATAATAATTTGGACTTGTCTTTCCACTTTTACCATTCTGATGGTACTCAAGTTAGACACATTTGTCCTTTTGAATTAAATAAATAAATCAATCAATCAAAAAATTAATCAATCAATCAATCAATCAATCAATCAATCAATCCTTCCTGTTAAAAAAGTCTGAACTGTCTGAAGGACCCCAAAGGTGGCCCCTTCGCCCTGTGCAAGGCCTGTGCACAAATTCAAGTAAAAGGGTTCAAACGTTCGGACCGCTCCCTTATAGTTTCGGTGGAGTGTTTCTATCTCTCTAGCACCCCAGCCCCTCCAGTGGGGAAATAGGTTTACAAAAGTTTTGGTGACGAGTGGACAAGAGCGCAAGGCCTAGCCAGACGAAACAAGCAGGGTGATTCTGCAATGTCAAAACTCGCGCACTCTCTTTCCCACCTAGTGCAAGAGCCCCCATGACAGATTATCGACAAAGAAGCGAGTGAAACAAAAACGCAGTCAGCCTACAAATAGTATCTTTAAATAAAACTTACTTGGCAAACGGTAGCGGACACCTCTTTAGCTCCGCCAATTCAGCCTTCAACCTAAACAAACAAAGTATGCGTTAGGAAAGTTTACATAGACATATTCTTAGACTTGTAACGCTAAAAATGTGTTTTCCTAGAAGCCTGCTCCCAAGCAGTCGTAAGTCGTGACTCGTGCATAGGTTATGTGGGGGACGATTCGACTTCACGTCTTCGTCTGTAAAATCGCGTTAGCTTCGCGAACCAGAGTTAAAAGGGACATTAAATTAGACGAGTATCTGTACTTACCTCTTATCTACCAACGGTATTTCCATCGTAGCCATTGTCAGCGATAACTCCTTTTCTCGAACGAAACGCAAGGACAGACACGTGTACGCTGAGCTATGTGATGGCTATGGGAACTGGACGAATGGACGGACTTGAACGAAGAAGATGCGCATGCGTGGCGTCGGCTCTGATTCGGCTCGGCACAGAGCCGACAGGACCCCCCCCCCCCCCCTCTCTGGCATCCCATCTTAAATTCCAGGTGGAACACAGTCGTAAATTTTAAAAAACGTCAACGATTTTCTTTGACGTCAAAATGAGCTGAAACTGGCTACCTCACCGCATTATGTTTTCACAGTCAAAATTGGCGTCAAAATTAGGTCATCTTCACACAACGTTTTCTATATGTCTGCGTTCTGAAGGAGTACGTGGCCCATCTTGGAGGTCAATCGGTTGCGGAGCTTGCTTCAGGAATAAAAAAAACACGTATCTTTATCAACAATAGTGTATTTCGCCTAACGGAGGAAGAACAGCGGGTAGAACATGAACGTTACCGATTGGTCGAGAGCTTCCCGCCTTTACGTCACGCCGGTAGGGGGGGTAGGCGCTCGGCCAATCAGGAACCTTTATGTTCTACCCGCTATTCTTCTTCCTCCGTTAGTCGAAATACACTATATTGACGCCGCCGTGCCCAGCCTGTCCTAGAGTGTACTTCGGCTCCCCGGGTGACCATCCTTGCTGCACTTGACTTTACTTTGCAACTGTAGGCCTCCATAGACCTAGAGTAGTGTTGGCGGGGATAAAAGTCAACGAGCGAGCGCACTACTTGCGAGTTTCCAGGTGTAAGACAAAACGTTGCCAGGCGTTCCGAGGAGACTCATTTAACTGCCTCTCTCGCTGCCTTGTTAGCCTTAAGCGAGCCGGTCCCAGCACTCCTCGCTTGGGTCGGGGCGGGGAAGTCCAGTACGTGTGTGCACTGGCTCCACAGGCGGCACGGTGCTGGGCGGCTTCCCTCTACTTGTCCTCCCCGACGGCAGCGGCGCTGGCCGCGGGGCCGGCCAGGCCAGGTGAGGTCTGCCCTGGTAGCTACAAAGTAGTAGTTACACAGACCAAGCGCTGGCTGCCCGGGCTGACGGCCCTGGCGGCCTGCGGCAGAGGTCTGCATCGGTCGGTCCACCAGTCCCGGGAGCGCACGAAAAGCAACATGTGCTCGTGAGATGCAGCCCGGTGCTCACTTTAGGAACTCATGGAGAGGCGCAGGGTCAAGATCGACTGAATGGCGGCCACGGCCTCCACCTTGGGGAGAGCTGCGCGCGCACCCCGGAGCTCGCGCAGGTGCGTCATGGTGGCCAGCAGCGGCGCCGTGGAGGTCATAGCGACAGCATCTCGGGCATCGGGCATCTCACTCGCACATATCGCTCTCGGGCGCTCCCGGGACTGGTGCACCGACCGATGCAGACCTCTGGCCTTCGGGTGGCCACGCGAGGTGAAGCTGTACGTGATGTGCTATATCCAGTTAAGTATTGGTCGTTTCCACGCTCACGCCGGGCTCGCAGCTGCAACGTAGCCTATGATGATGAGGCGCACGATGCGGGCCACGTCGGTGGACTCGACGGTCAGGTCCTCGCCCAGGGTGGCTGGTGCGAACGGGCACGGAGTGCAGCGGGCGGTGTCGACAGCGACAAGCAGCCGAAGGCCGCGGTCGTCGACCGGCCAGGCAGGTCTGGCATGCGCCCGGGCCGCTGCAGAATTAAGTCATGTCGTCGACCAGTGGGACGTGTAAGAGGAGCTCGCACTGTTTAGCTACAGGACGGAAGACTTGTCCAGCACCAAACTCTTGCGATCCCAGATGTCCAAGCCAGCGCCAGGACGAGATCCATGCCGACCGGGGAGGGGGGAGGGGGGGGGGGGCAGCTGACCGCCGGCCAGTACGCAAGGATTACATTGCGCAGGGCGCAGGGCTCGGCGCTCCGGAGGAGCTCCGCGGCCCCCGCGGCGGCAGCCCCCGGTGCTCACTCTCAGAGCTCACGTAGAGGCGCAGGGTCAAGATTGACTCAAAGGCGGCCACGGCCTCCACCTTGGGGCGAGCTGCGCGCGCAGGTGGCAGCAGGCTCCGTTTGTCGTCCCAGGTTGATCTCCTCGATGGTGGTGGCATACTCGGCTAGAATGGAGTTCACGAAAAGCTCCGGCTTCGGACCCAGGCTGCAAGTACAATGCTGCAGGGTGTGCCGGGCGCACGCCGACGCACGGAGCCAGGCGCAGCACCGGGCACAGGCACTACGTAGTTGTTGTCAAAGCTGAAGCCCCCGGTGTCACCACGCGTCCGAGTGCACGGCTGGCGCCTCGACCCTCTTGCTCACGAGGCAGCAGGCGAGGAGGTCGTGCACGCCGAGGTAGTAGATCACCATCGCCAGCACGTCGTCCAGTAGATGATCCATGGTATGTGGGGTGTCGTAATGACGGCGTTACGACATGGCGTGGGCGAAGGTCCCCGTTGTCGCGTCGTGGTGGTCGAACGACATGACGTAGTTGGTACTACAGTAAGCCATCGGCTGCTTGCTCCTTCTTGTCGCTGTCGCCCTCCTCACCGCCCGCTGCACTCCGTGCCCGTTCGCACCAGGCAACCGGGGCGAGGACATGGCCGTCGAGGCCAACGACGTGGCCCGCATCGTGCGCCTCGCCATCATAGGCTATGTTGCGGCTGCGAGCCCGGCGTTAGCGTGAAAACGACCTATACTGTATGTCGACTAACGGAGGAAGAAGAACAGCGGGTAGAACATAAACGTTACCGATTAGTCGAGAGCTACTCGCCTCTACGTCACGCCGGTAGTGGGGGTAGGCGCTCGGCCTACCAGGAACCTTAATGTTCTACCCGCTATTCTTCTTCCTCCGTTAGTCGAAATACACAATTCTTAACTGGATATAGTTATGCGCTTGCCGCTATCAAACTTCCTGCGCGGGCGCAGCTGACTAAGGTCAGCCTGCCGGACAAGCCCGGTGCTGACAGCCCCGCCCGCATGCCTGCATGCGGTACAACATGAGCAAAATAAAGGAAGGGGTCTGTGGACCACCGTGTAGACTAGACGGGCCTGACGCCTGACGAGCTCACGCTGCTGTACTGGGACCACGCTAGGAAAGAGCCTGGCTTATGGAGGCAGTTCTTAACGACTGCCTGCTCACCTTCCGCCGCAACTCATTGACCTGCTCGGGTCCCGCCCGCCCTGTCGCATGGACCGAGGTGCGCACCGACGTCGCCGGCCGCGGCCAACGCGGGCCAGTATAACAGCTCCACTTCGCGCTGGTGCTTGTCCTCGCTGGCGGTACGCGCGGCAGCCGGCCTGAACTTGGGGCTGGCCTGGATTATGAGCTCTGGGGCGCGGAGGGACTCGCAGGCAGCCAAAGCCTCCAGCCCGTGGAGGTGTTGCAGCACGTCAACTGGCGGAGGTTGGGCAGGTCGGCCACCAGGAGCAACTTGAAGGTCAAGTCCGTGTTGGACGACGAGCGCTGTCCATCAGGCAGACGATCCAGGCTGTGCTGCTGCGCTATGGGTGCCGTCTGGGGCCGCGGATGCCATGCTGTACCCTGTACCGGGCTTGTCTCAGCAAAACACTAGTTTGAAAGAACTTCTCGTCGCACTATGTGCCCTCGTATGGCTTTTCTCCGGTGTGAGACCGCCGCTGCCGCTCTCTCCCACGAGCGCTCATGCGGGCTTAAAACTATCGTAAGTGTTCGACGACGACCTGGCCTGGAATATAGGTAGAAGGGTGGGCACGCCCCGTGTTCGCGCCCAAGGGCCTCTATGCCCAGGCGCAGATGCTCGCGGTTTGCAGGGGGCTGTAGGGTGATTCCGCACAGCGCTTTCGTACCTCTGTCCTTGTCGCACTCATGGGTGACTGGCATAAGGTGGGAGGGAGAGGAGAAGACTAGGCACTGTGCGGAATCACTCTGCTGATCGCGCAGGGCACGGACCGCGACACACCCAACGGACAAGTCCCGCTCGCCGCGAGTGGCCCAAGTCGTTGTGCACAATAGTGTATTTCGACTAATGGAGGAAGACGCACAGCGGGTAGAACATGGAGGTTCCTGATTGACCGAGTGCTTACCGCCACTACCGGCGTGACGTAGAGGCGGAAAGTTCTCGACCAATCGGTAACGTTTATGTTCTACCCGTTATTCTTCTTCCTCCGGTAGTCGAAATACACTATAACAGTGGCGGACCGAAGCTTTGCCGTTTAGACCTTCCCCGGCCCCTGATGGGCATGCTGACCCGATCGATCCTTCGACCATCGTTCGACGAAAGGAACAACCAAAGTCTGAGTGGAGGTGGCGGTGGCGGTGTAGGGTAGCGTTCTCCGTGCATCGGGGGTCTGACTGCGACCGACTAGTTCCCGCCGTTTGCCCCCCCCCCCCCCCCGCGCTAGACCACCCTTCCCCCCGTCCTCGGGCGCCTGTCTGCTTGCCTCGGCCCCGGGCGGAGCGGCAGGCCGGGCGCGCTGCGCGCAACGGCTCGGTCGCGGCCTCGGCCCTCGGCCTCCAGTCCTGTCAGTTGCTACCTGCGCGCAGAGCAGTTCGTGTCTGTGCGATCCTTTTGTTCCGCCTGCGTCTCTCGCGCGCGTCTCGTCGTAGTCGTTACGGTTGTTCTGAGATGGAGCTTGGCGAAGAACTCATGACGGACGATGAAGATGAGTACGAGGACGCTGCTGATGATCACCATCACCACCAACCGATGATCATCGACCTTAATGAAGAGGAGGTTCTGCTCGCCCAGGCCGATGATGACGTCCATGTTCCTATCGGCGCTGAAGACCTTCTGCTCGACAGTGGCGCGGAAAATTCTGAGGATGACAGGGATGTTGGTGCCGGTGCTGGTGGCGGTGGCAATGCTGGTAACGTAGAAGACGATGGTGTTGCTGGTGTTCGTGATGAGAACGGATTTGATTTGAATGGTGAAAATGGTGACAATGGTGAGAATGGTGAAAATGGTGACTATGGCGAGAATGGTGACAATGATGACAACGGTGACAATAATAACAATCAGGGTGGCGTACCGATTGAAGAAATACCAGGGCAACAGCCTGGTAGCAAGTTGTACGTGGATACCGTGAATTTCTACGTGTATCGGAAAAATAGTTCCTCGACCAACTACTTCAGCCTGCGGTGCACCATCGGCGACTGTCCG